GAGTTTAGACTAATTCATTATATTAGGAGGTGGAAACGTTGTTGAGATGGGTTCTTACAATAGTTTAGACCAGATACATTCGCGAAAGTGGTCGCTTATTACAGGTGTTGTATGTTGTTTCGGACCAAAAATCGATGCCCGCGGTCGCGTTACACAGGTGGTCGTTTAATACAGGTAACTTATACGAAGACTCTATGGATAAACTATTCCGTGCCAGAAATTTTTGCCCGTTTTGACAGGTGCCCGTCTAATGCAGGTGGTCGCCTAAGCAGTTTTCACTGTATATAGATTACATTTATATTTTGAGGGTTTTTTTGAAGTAGAACCTGAGATGGCCACTAAAGATTTGTAAAAACTTTATGAAACTCTGTAAGAATGTTTGTAAAAAGATTTTTCTGTTTTAAATTGAAATGAACTTTATTTTTCACTATGCATTTATAAATTTGTTTGTCATCACTACAGATTAGAAGTTTATTGAAAATTGTTTTATCTTAATAATTATAAATTATTTGGATGTGAAACTTATTCTCTTTAAAATACCTAATGTAAAGTAATTTTATACATACAATTTTACAGAAATTATATATTGTAGAAACAGTGCATAAATTAGATTCTCATCGATATAGACTTAATTGTTCATAGTAAACTTTTCAAAAAAAAGAAAATTATACAAGGGTTGGAAAATATATAATGATCACTGATTTATTACATGAAACAGAACAGAAGTACAGCTGTTCATAGTTTATAATTCTTTAGTGTAATCACCTGCACTTTAAACCACCCATTTTCATGGATGGGAAGTTGGTCATTGCCATTAGCAATCCACTAATTGTTGATAGTCGCTATGGATCAGTCTACCTGTATAATGTCCTAGATGGTCTTGAAATTTTGATGAATTTTCCACATCTTAGGGAATAAATCAAAATCGCATGCACTCATGTCTGGAAAGAATGCAGGGTGATCCAACACATTCCAACCACATTTATCAAGCAGATCCTTCACTATGGTTGACACATGGCGATGGACATTGTCATGGAAAATGATGGGGGATTCATAAGGAAGTGGTATAGTTTCTTATGCAGTACTGGTCATAGATGGTGTTTCAAAAAATGGGTATAGCAATGTACATTCAGATTGTCCTGGTGGCACTTTGTGCATTAGGATAACACTTTCACAGTCATACATGGCAGTGTTCACAGCCTTGATGATAGTGGATCTGCTAGAACAATGTTTCTCAACCTCTAACAAATCGTCGCCCCCTTTACTAAAACTGTTATCTAGTATTGCCCCCTTCACTTCAAAATTCCGATGCTAAGAGCCAAGGCTAATGCTAAATTCGTACTGCATTGAATAGACTAGTGACTAGTGTAATGTTATTTGTTTAATTATTGTACAATATAACGAATAAAATATCTAATTATTCTTAATATAATGTTTTACTATATCACCCAGAAAATTGTTTTTTACCCCCAAAATATAAATTATTACTAATCTCCCCCTCAACATGGAAAAATGCTCCTGTTGAGAAACACTGTACTGGAATTTCTTTTTCATGGGGAGCTGTAATGTCATCATTCAGTGGACTGGCATTTCAATTGGAGTTCATAGGATTGAGCCCATGTTTCATATAGCATAAATACAATGTAACTACATCAGCTCTTTACACTGATAGCTCTTTAAAAGGAGACATGCTACCTCATAATGCTGCAATTTCTGGATGTCATTCAAAGTATATGGAATCCAACAAAGTGTAATTTTTTTTTGCATACACAAATTCTTCTCTCAGAATGTATAGGATGGTGATGTAATACAAATTGTTCTCACAACCTAGATCATGAATTTGCCACCTGTGAATCATTCTCTAACAATGTGGCCATCGCTTGCACTTGTTTTGTTGTAATATTGTGGGGATTCCTAGGCTAATGCTCATCATCTGCTTTTTGATGACTGTCTCTGAATGCTTTTACCTACTTGATGGTACTGTACCATAAAGTTGATGCTCCAAAAACTGTTACAAGCCCCTGAACACTGTTTTGCTATGAATTCCCTTGCAATCTCAATTTGCAGCCAAAATCACCCCTATAACTTAGAAAACATCTATTTAGACTGGTCTACCTTGCACACGTCTCTTTCTGTTGATATTGTACATGTCCAGTCCAACAGTAAATTAAACCATTCTGCCAATGGGTAGGTAGGGAACCAATCTTAATTAAATACAGCATAATAGTCATAATTGTCAAGGCCATCATTCTTGCTTTATAAATGTGTGTCATTATTTATTTTTCAACCCCTGTATATATGCAATATTTTGCAGCTTTGAATTTTAAGACATTCTATGTATTCTAAATGATTTTTCTACTTGAACTAGAGAATATGTCACAAGATATTTCCAACTTTTCAAGAAGACTGTGTTTATTACAATTGCCTTTATTTTTATTTCTTTAAACTATTTAAAAGATTATATAAAAATTATTATTCTTATATCACTTTCATTTAAATTTTTTTAATGAAATGATTATTTACTTTTTCAGGCTATTAATGCAGCACAAAGACAAGGGTTGGCCATTGAAACTACTAAAAAATGTATGATTTTATCTTTTATAATTAAGCAATTATTACAATTATATATAAGAAACTTATCTTTAATTCATAGATAATGCAGCTACAAATAAACAACATCAAACAAGTATGAATACTGCAAAGTTAGACAGAGAAACAGAACAGCTCCATCATGATACTGTTGGATTGGAAATTGGGAGATTGATTCAGCAAGGACGGCAAAATAAAAATCTAACACAGAAAGATTTGGCAACAGTTAGTTTTAATAAATTTACTCTTAATTAATTTACTTATATACTAAAACCTGTGTAAACTGGAATTGCACAGTACTGAGCATTCAGTTTAGCAGGTTTCAGTTTTTGAACAGGTTTTTAGTGTTTTTTTTTTTATTTATCAGATAATCAGATAAATGTCACACAGTTACATTCCTTTTTTATAGTAAAATCACTATCACATACATAAAAATTTTTATTACTAGACTTAATCCAAAGTGATTTCAACTAAATGTGCACGTTCAAATGCAAGAATTTAGAACTATCCAATTGCAAAAATTTTTCCAAGAACTTATGCTAGTATTTAAATACTTCTTGGATGTGGACCTTATTAGCTTGCTTAACAGCAAATAAGCCTATTTGAGTTCAAAAACTAGTGTCTTGCTCTACTCACAAAAATTTGAATTGCATTACAGTAATATATAGACCAGGGGTGTCCAACCTTTTTGTTCTTCTGGGCCACATTGGAAGAAGTCATGGAGTTTTGGGCCACAAGTATATATAATATATTTGTGACCTAATCCTTAAATATACAAGTATATTTAAGGATTAACATGTCTAGATTATAGTAATAAGTATTAAAACTTTATCACGAACAAGGATATTTTAAAAAATTACTTCTACAGGCCCTTTCAATTTTNAAACAGTGTGGAATGCATCAAACCACTTCCTGTCATCCGAACAGATGTATTCAGTGGAAAATTCCAAAACATAAATTGATAGTGGGCTGATTATTAAAACAGGAAGCGCAAGTGCACTTGAACTTGGTGTACGTTTCAATTAGCACGTGGAAAAAATTCATACTTCTGAATATCTAGAACTCTACTCATGTGATTTCTGTACAGTGTTTCAATCATTATGAGATATTTTTAATGATTTAACAACTTGAAATTATCTACAAAGTGCGCGTTATAATACGATTTTAGGGATTATTACTGACTTTTTTTAAATTTCATTTGTTTTTATTTATAAAATAAATTAATTTAAGTGTTTAAAATTCATAGAGAGTAAGGTCGAGGTTTTATTAGAGTTTAAGGATATTTTATTTATATTTTTATCCAGTTTATAAGGTTATAATTAATTGTTCAGTAATCAATCATTCAATAAATTTGGAGTGAACTTTTTGTAATGAATATTTATGTTTAATTATGACTTTGTAAAAAGTGTAAAAAAAAATTCTACTTTGAGAACAGATAGTTTGAGAACTGATATGAGAAATATCTAGTTTGTTATTATGAATCAATGGCAAATTATATGTTTTTTTAAATACTTAATTTGCCACTAATTTGAGAAATATATGTTAAAAATTGGTAGAGCCAATCTTTAAAGTATATTGCTACCTAAAACATTATAGATTGTTCCAGAATATACTTTACATATTGTTCTAAGACTTGTTTATATATTGCTTCAGCAAACGTTTATATATTATTCTATCATGGGTTATGTATTTCTCTGGAAAACATTTATGTAGTGCTCTAGCATGGATTTATGTATTTCTCTGGCAAACGTTAAATATATTGTTCTATCAAACCTTATGAATTGCTTTGACATACGATTTGCATACCAAACACTCGTGAACATTTATGGAGCAGGTTCAAAACTTTATTCAAGGAGAAAAAAATAATAAAAATAAAAGAATTTGTCGGTTTTGTTTACACGTTTATTGGGCAGCATTGGAACTTGCCTTGGGCCACATGCGGGCCGCGGGTTGGACATTCCTGATATAGACCAAGTTATTTTGTGACCTAACTTCTTGAGGAATTTTAATAACTAATTAACTGTTTAATTCAATTCTGTATTTATCAACATGTTAATCAAGTTATTTTTGAATACTCAGTACTAGTTAGTTACTAAGTATTCCATATAAGACAAATTGATATACTATGTTACCTTATTTTTATTGTTTTCATAAATTATATTTGTTGCTTGTTCTCAAACTCAATTTTTTGGAAACTCATTCAATTCTTGAAAATTTTTGGTTTTTGCCTCATTAATTCAATAGACTAATATTAATAAAGCTCCTGTGTTAGTATGTTCCATTGTCATGACTTGCATTTCTTTTACAAAGCTCAAAATCATTCTCACAATACATTTTGTCACATACTGCAATGACAGACAGACTTGGAGACAATTTTCTATTTCATCCAGATTAAGTTACGTTCTTTATTTCCAGCATCTCCTATTTCTTCATTGGATAAGTTTCCAGCTTATAGTAGAATTTAACATAGAAAATTGCTCTATTTCAAAGAATTTTTTGTTCAGGCAGGTTTTCACTTTGGAAGGTTTTATTGTATATTTTTTTAAATTAATATTTAGCTATTTTTATAAAATGTTTTATTTTTATCTGGTTCTATAAATGAATTTTGTTATTCATGTATATATTTTGACTTTTAATTTGAACACCAGGAAAATAAAGAAATTTTCAAATTATCAAATATTTAATTTGTTTATTTCAAAAAAAAAATTAAACTAGTGTTCCATAAGTTTCTGATGTTCATATTCTATATTCTTTGGAACTATTCTATTTTTCTCTACTTTTTACACTCATTTAATCACTTGGATTTTCAACCCTTTTACTCTGACATGGTCAGTTGTACTTTACCTTTCAAAACACCGATCCAAATTTCAGTCAAAGTCCCTCTACATATTTTATTTTAAAAATTCACCAAAAATCAAATTTTTATCATAGAGATACAAAAATAATCACATATATTTATTACTTTATGTAGTTTTTGGCATAATACAGGTATACCTCGCCTTACGTTGGTAATTGGTTCCAGGAGAGGCAACTTAAGTCAAAAAACGGCATAAGTCGAATTTACTTGTCACTAGGCAAGCCACAAATAACCATCCCCAGTTCTGTATTTTATTTATAAATGCATTTTTAATAATACAGTATATTGTTAATAAGAATCTATTTTAAGCTTACAAACAAATAAATTTTAGTTTTTAAAATGGTACAGAAAAAAGTAATCTAAATTTGCGAATTCATGTACTGTACATACAGTACATACTTGTAAATGTATATGTTTACAATTTGGCGATGTTTACAGTACATCGCGGACTCTTTATTTGTGAATGTGGTTTGCTCTAAGACATAAAATAAGATGATTTTGTAAGGTTAAATAACAAATACAGTTATTAAAATTATTTTGCGACAATAGAAAATAAACTAATTTATATTAAATTTATCAATATCGAGTGGCGCTGACAATGACGCCAAATGGTAGATATTGGAGCTACTGTGAAAAAACACCAATATTGAGCACTTAAAGACCACTAAATAAGACGACAACACAGTCACAGATGTTTTCATGTTTCGTTCTCCTAAGATTTATGATAATTATATTAACATTTACTGTAAATGTATGTATTTTAATATGATTTTATGTGCTTTAACGCTTTTATAGTGATATTAGGACTTCAATATTTGTGGTGGACAGACGTAAAGTTGAATAAAATGACTTAAACTTGATTTTTATTTTTCCATATATTCTTTGACAAACAACGTATAATCGAGAACGATGTAACTCGAAATGAAGTAAGTCGAGGTATACCTGTATCAATGTCTGTGAAGAACAATAAGAAATAGATTGAATGACACAGGATTTTTATTTGCAAAGCCAAAAGAAACACCTTTCTGACAAAAAAAAATTATTTAAAATGGTCAAGACAGCACAAAAATTAGACTGTAAGACAAGAAAACGGCAATTTTTTCAGATGAGAGTCATATATGAATTAGATGTAGTGAGGATGCAGAAAAATTTGTTTGGAGATGTTCAGAAAAGAAATTTAAGATTGCCAGAGTACAAACACTAAATTTCCAATAAGTTTAATGATTTGGGGCTACATGTCAGTTATTGGACCTGGAAATATATGTATTCTTAATGAGACCGTAATAGCAGAAGTGTATGAAGGAATTTTAGAATTGTTTCTGATTCCAACAATCAAAGATCACTTTGGTAATACTGATGTTTTTCAAGATGATAATGCCACATGCTAACAAGCCAAACAAAATAAAGATCTTTTAAAGTCTAAAAGTCTGAAAATAACCCATATTTAAATTCTATTGAAAATTTACAGGTAAAGTTAAAAATGCTGGTTGATGAAAGAGTATCAACTAATAAAAATGAACTTAAAGAAGCCATGTTTAGATTTAGCAATCTTTTTTTGACGTAGAGACTGTCCACGTAAGTAAAAGTTAAAAAATTGCTATTTATTTCACAATACTTTGTGTTTTTATAATAAATAATCAACTTACAGTTTTGTTCTGTAAAGAATGTTTGATAAGAATAGAAATCAGAAAAAGCCAAAGTACTACTGAAATTAAAGGACTATTTTTAAAATATAAAACTGATCAATACAATTTGACATTACAGTCTCAAACATTTAACAGATTAATTAGTCTTAAATTAACAGTCTTAAATTTAACAGATTAATCTGTTAAATTTAATAAAAAACTATAGATCTTATTTGGTGTGACACATGGAACTATTTGAAGTTAGACAAGCAATATTACATATCTAGCACCATATAGAGTTTCCAAGTAGAATATTTGCCAATTTTCCCAGCATATGACTCATATGATTTATTCATTCTTTTTCTGTTATTCTTTCCTTCTTCAAATTCTCTCAATGTCTTAATGCCTGTCTTCCATTATGCAAAGGAAAAATGTCAGTCAATTTAGTAAATTTTTACGCGGAAAGTCGAGGATACTATCTAAAAAACAAGATTAAAAACTTACTTAAGTACACACACAAACCCTATAAAATGATGGCAGTGAAGATGAGTAATATTTTAAAATAATATTTATGGAAAATATGTAATTTATTATATAGTCTGTTCAAAAGATGTTTTGGAGAATAAAAAACACTGGAAAATTTTATCTGTAATCCATAGTCATCTGTTGAATCAAGGTAAAAATATATATTTGCATTTTGACAACACATTCTTGTTATAAACAGCTGATGAATTTCACTCAGTTTAACTTGCTCTAACATCAGAAATTCAATGACTAAATGCTCTCCCCTCTTGGATGAGCTTGCATTGGTAAATGCCATTTTCTGGAGTAGTTTTTTTCCCATGCTGCTGTGCAGTAGTGGTGTTGCAAATATATGCAAAATATTAATAGCCAGCATTCCTACATACTTGTCAAATTGTTTCTGGTGCAAATGCTTTATCTTTAATTAGTAACTCCAGTTTCTTTTTGAGTGAATCAAATACATCAATTAGGTGCCTATTTGTGTATGCATTTTAAGATAATATGCATTATTTGAGGTGACTCAAAAAAACTTACGATAGAAAAATTAGTATTTTTATTTTTTCCTTTAATCATTTTAGTTCTAATATCAATTCAAATGAACATTTATTTCAACTAATTTGTATATTACAAAACATAGTTTATGGCTGAATTATCATTTTCAAGGAATATATTTGTTAAGTTCAATTGTAACATGTGTCAGGTGTGTGGATGTCAGCAAGTGTTGATGGATAGTCCACAGCTTTGTCACACATGTCAGGTGGGTGAGGTAATAGTATCCCTAAGAATGCAGGGGAGATGGTCCTGCCTAGAGATGGAAAATTTGTGTGCTTCCCTTTGGGGGTGTGGAGTCAGTGTTGTGTGGAGACAGAACTGAGAGGAGTGCTAGCTGCAGTACTGACTGGGGAGCTAACCAGAGTGGGTAGCTGTGTGGCTGGTCAGGAACCAGTATTGTAATTATCAAATAATTGTTGGGTACCGGAGTGTTGCTCGATTGTGGAGTGCCAGAGAGTCGCTCGCTGATTTGGAGACATTAAAGTGTAATTGTGTTGTTATTGTTAGAAAGGAAGTGTGTACTGTGTTCTTCTAAACCGTGTAAACAGGAACATTTTATACCACCATCATCACATAACATCATTTTTTATACAACAATATTAAAAATTTAATAATAATTTCAATCCTAATTTTCAGTGCTAAAAATCTCTAATTTGAAGGATTTATAGAATTATTGCATTTCGCAGTCATGGCAAGATATATTTTGCTAATATTTGATATTTTAATGTACAAAATTATAATGTACTATATAATTGTAGCAAATTTGAATTAATTTAGAATATTTTNTAAATTATTTGTTGGAATATTTAAAAAGAATGTGTTTTATTTGTTTAGGAAAATAATTAAATAAAACAAAACTAGAACAAAAATAAGAAAAATAATAAATAACTAATATATATGTTACTGTGAAAGACCAAAATTAGAGAATGTCGATATTTTCTGGTGAATGTTGACACATACAAAATACGTCAGTGAAAGACCGAATATTTGGTTATATTATTATACATTCGAACAATCGCAGGTGTATGTTGACAAGCACAGACAAGCTTTGGTGGAGGTCGAAACAACACTCAAGAAGCACATGTCAACAGACAGGCGACTGTATATTGCTAAATTCTACGCCGTTTCCTTCTGCTGAAATTGGTGATGTAATACGAATACAAGTCCCTGGCCATACAGATGCCTGAAATGTGTTGGCGGTTGTTGTTGGAATAGAAGACTCTGACTTTTATAAATTAGCAAAGAAAAATGTTACCCTCAAGCAGCTTTATACCCATAATCAGTTCGTAATTTGTAAAGAAAAGTTACCAGTACTTTCCATAGATCAGATTTCTTCTCAAGAAATGTCGCTGAGAGAAGTAGCTGCAGCTAATTCGAAAAGTGGAGGGCAAGGCTATATATGCTGCCATTGCAAACAGAAGTGTTCCACGAATAAATGCAGTTGTAAAAGCAAGGGACTCTTGTGAAATTCAATGTGCCATAACAGTTTAAGTTGTTCCAATAAATAAGATTGTATAACGTTAATCACATAATTTATGTGTAAGTTTATTATTGTATTATTTTCTTTAATGATTTAGAATGTGCTGTTACTTAAGCTTTCTTCTATTTTGACATATTAAAAAGTTGCATTTTTGTCTTAACGTAATAAAAATATTTTTATTTAACATTCACCATCAGTGCATGCTGAATGTTGACATTTGCCAGTGTAAGTGAGAAATAACGATATTTAGCAAATATTTCGTACATACACGAAACGACTGTGTGAATGCTGATATTCACCGGAGAATGTTAACATTCACCAGATATCGGTCATTCACAGTAACACATACATAAAAAGACTGTGTGAATGCTGACATTCAACAGATATCGGTCATTCACAGTAACATATATATATATATATATAACTCACAAGCAGTGAATAGCAATAAAATATCACCAAATGCAAATAAACATTTTTCAAATTGTCATTTCATATGTTTCAGATGAAGCTGAACTGACAATATATTGTCACGTTGTCATAGAAAGGTTAAGCTATAGTATATGCTTGTATTTTATTTAGACCAGGGGTGGCTAACCTTTTCAGAAGACAGGCCAAATTTCAGAAATAGTATTTCCTGTTGGGCCACACACCTAATTTTTTTTTTTTTTTTTTAAAGTAAAAAGCAAGCATGCTACAGCTTCAACCACATTGTCGCTTCCCAGTAGGTGAGATTGTGGTCAAACACTTGCCTGGTTTAATGTAAAAAAACACAAAAAATAGATATATTTATTTTTTGAAGAAAATAAAACATATTTATTAGTACAATTTAAAAATATTTAAAAGTGAGACATTTCACTTTGTTTTACAGAACTAAGTGCAGCAAAATTGATCTCCACTGATGTTGTCGCTACACTCAAACAGTTTTCCAAATGAATATCAGTAATTCAATCTCACTTGTGATTTGATGTACTTCATGAGACTAAAAAGCTGTTCACACACATAAGTGTTTCCACATAGCAAAACCATCGACAAAGCATGTTTGTAAAATGCAGGATATTTATCCTTGTTTAAATACGTTTCATAGAACTCTTCCAAACCAACTTGATGGAATTTCTCCAATGTTTCAGGGTTTACTTGCTTATAAAATCAATATGGTAGACAGGCTATGTGGTTAAAGTAGTTTGAACTGTAATTATATATATGTTAAAAATGTATTTTAATATCAATTGCAAAATCTCTCCAGATGCATTGGCGATAATAAAACTAAACTACAGAATAACATAGAACTTTGCCAAGCTGGACTGAAAGTAGTTATGAGTATGAGCTTGACAGCATTGCAAGCTTCCTGAAAATGCCAAAGACCACAGAACATATATAGCTGAAGTTGAAGTCTCATATTAAATTTTATCAACACTTAGCGTCGGACAAAAAACTAAGTAACCTTGAGTGTCAAATAGCGGGATATTTGAAATAGCTAAAAATCTATGAATTTTTCCAAAAATGAGAGATATTTCAAATTCCTCTTAGCTTTAATTTAAAAGTACATGATATGAATAACTCATGAGGTAATGTTCTTTTGGTGATATGTACAATAAAGTTAACATTTATGTTCATTTGACCTAGCTCCATGGGTCACAACATGACTTCCAGCGGGCTGCGTGTTGGCCACCCCTGATTTAGACATAATAATAATGTAGTTTAATAACTTAAATAGACTCAAATTTCATTAAAATAGTTAAAACTGTCATATGTTTCACAATGTCCAAGGAGTTGACTGGATCCATTCATTTTAGAGAATTCTTAAATGCATATATTCTATAAGCACATGAGCACACTTGCACATGCATGCACACACAGACCACATGCTACTTTCCCCTTTTCAATATAAATTTTTATATTGAAATATTAATACTAGCCTTGAATTATCCAAATTTATATTAAAAGTTTGAATTAACTGTATTTATTAAATAAATAGTTATTTCAGTATTTAAGTTTGAATGTAAGAACTTCAAGGAGAATAATAATAGGTTCAAATTAAGCAAATTCAACTGTATTTATATTACATATTTTGCTGTTCATGAAATCTAACCTAACAAGTTACCAACATACATATTGATTTTGTTTTTTAGAAGATTAACGAAAAGCCTCAAGTGATTAATGATTATGAAGCTGGAAGAGCAGTACCAAATCAACAAATACTGACCAAAATTGAAAGAATCATTGGTAAGAAAAATTTTTCTTAAACATTCTGCTAATTTTCTGTTTTTTATTTGCTTACAGTATGCAGTGGTATAAATCCAGTTTTCATCTTATAAAGAATAAATCTTTGGAATTCATTTCCATATTGGAAAATTCATTTTTTACTAGATCATCATGAATAACTTTGCAAATCCAGTGATATATTTAATATAACAATGAAAAAGTTTGGCATTATATAATGCCAAAGTTTTTGATTCCAACTGGATTTTCATCAGATCAAATAACATTCTAAAATTGGAATGCTTAGAACAGGGGTGTCCAACCTTTGTTTCTCTGGGCTGCATTGGAAGAAGTCAGAGTTTTGGGCCACAAGTACATATAATATATACTTGTGGCCCAATATAGAAGTATATTTAAGGATTAACATGTCTAGATTATAATAATAGGTATTAAATCTTTATGACAAAAAAGGATATTTTAAAAAATTACTTCTACAGACACTTTCAATTTTTACTTAGAAATAGATAAATTCATTTATTATAAAAAAGACAAATGGAAATTTATTTGAAAAACACAAATATTTGTTTTATTTGGGTCTCTAATTAATAAAAAGCGACAAAACACCATTTTAAAGTGCATTTTCATTCAACTAAAACAGTATATTTATAAATAAAATGTAACCCAAGAAGTAGCCAATGCATCAAATGATAATTTCTACGTCAAACAAAAAAACGTAGCCACATTTGGTGCAATGTAGCCAAATCTTGCAACGTTGGAAGAAATACTATTACTGGAATAAAGCTGGAGTTGTGACTCAAAGGATTATAGACCCAAATGCAGGGAAAGGAGAAAAGATAAAGAAGTGGAAAATTAAGGGTCAATATTTGCATAACAGAAGATCTATTTAATTTTTCTCACTACTTTTTATATTTTGTCTTTTCTCACCTTTCTGCCTTTTCCCAAATTTGGGTCTATAATTCTTTGAGTCACAACTCCAGCTTTATTTAGTAATCCTTCCTCATTCACACATCTCCAAGTATTTGAAAATATTTCTTTTCCACTCAAAAATAAAATATGAATAAAGGTTTACAGCTTTGTTAAACTTCTTTTTTGAGTTTATGCTGTTGAACTAAATAAATAAATAAAAAAATTAAAACATTTGTTGGTTTTGTTTACATGTTTATTGGGCCGCATTGGAACTTGCCTTGGACCACAGGTTGCACACCCCTAAGTTAGAACAAGATATAAAATATAAAGTGCAAATATAATCAGGCAATCCCAGCATACTAACCACTTCAGAACTCAGGCAGTGTTGGAGATTCACAAATCTGAAATTAAAGGCATGTGCGTAAACTTCAAAGAGGGAAAAAGTCTGTCATATGTCTGGCAATGCTTTTATAATAACCTGGGATAATACATTATAGTTTAATTTGCTATAATGATGAAATTATCATTTTTGATATATTTGCAAATTTTAACAATTTTTGATTTCTTGCAAATGTTGATTAAAAAATTTGTTAACATACTTATCATCTTTTGTTTAATATTACACTTTACTGTAAAAGTTCTATAATATTTAAAATTTTATATCTTGTTCTTCTAAGATTCCAATTTTAGAATGTTATTTGACCTGATGAAGAAACAGTTGAGATCAAAAACTTTTATCAATGTATATATTTTTCATTGTAAATCCAGTGAGATATTTAATATAACAAAGTTATTTGTGGTATTCTAGTAAATCTGGCATCCAGTTATAAGAAGTTAATGTAGTAGTTAATTTTTTTGTTGTCAACTCAAATTTTGCAAATCTGAAATCCTTAAAATTGTTGAATTTGGCCATGTGATATAGTATTTAAGCAATTAAAAAGTGAATTTTATTTTCTATTTTACAAAACTAGAATATATATTTTTTATAAAACTTTTTAAATATAGAATTTTTTAAGTTGATGTGTGACAATTAACATAGCATTGATAACTATCTGTTAATTAATTGTAATTAGGTATTATTAATCATTATAAATCAGAATTAAATATTTATTAAAGTATGTTTGGTCTGTAACTCTATTTTTAGCATATATTAATTAGCTTCTGAAAAATAAACAAAAGCAACTTTACTGTAAGATCTACTTGTATTCTTTTGCCATAACAGATCAGCTGATTTACAGTATGTGATTTTAATTGGCCTACAAATATATTATTATATTCTATTGTGTGCTGTTGAATCAGAAGGAAATTGATATTATGGCTATGATGCTGACAGACTGTCATTATCTTTTATATAGATATAAAATTTGTGCAATGATATTTATTTTAATTACAGTAGTTTTACTTTAAAAATGTATCAAGTATAATTCTAGGAAGAAGAAAAACTTTGTCCAAATTTAGTAATGAAAACTCATAATGCTTATCTAACACACACACATGAAATTTAAGAAATGAAATTTTTTAATCTTTTTTGGATATAATATTTTTTTATTAAATTGCAGGTGTCAAGCTTCGTGGAAGAGAAAAGGGAAAAGAGAATTAATGGACCATTAATTCTCTTTACATAAATTTGAAATACAGTAATGAGCAAAATATTATGTACAATAACATAAATTGCAAAATAAATGATATGTAATAAAATGCAATACTACATTTTTGTGAAAAATGAAAGATGAGTTAACATATATTTACATCATTTGGCAAATAAATACAGTAATACCTCGACTTACACTACCCCGACTTATGCAAACCCGGAGTTACGCGATTTTCAAATTTCGTCAATTCGTCTTTTGTTTGAGCGCCATGCAATTCTTGATTACTCACTCCCCCCCACACTATCATTCAGCTTACATGTTCGGACATATCGCGTGGAATCGACATATAGCTACAATTTATTTTGTGTTATTTATTTCTGTGTTTGTTATATCTATGGAGACTTGAGAGACACTATGTGGTGATTTCTTGTAACCGTGAACAAATCAAAAGACAAGATAAGATTAACAAGAACATTTATTACGTTACATACATCCAACTTGGATTTTACACAAATTGCGAAAGTATACCCCGACTTACGCGAATTTGACTTGCGCGGTTATCGCTCGGTCCCACCTATTGCGTAAGTTCGGGGTATTACTGTATCAACAACTTGTGTATATATATAATACATATCTTATCAATCAGAATCAATTTCCATTCCTGATGATAGCTGAGAACAAAAAATAAGTGAGCAGCACTAATTTTATTCTGTTTTTACATTAAAATTTATGCAATGATATTTATTTTAATTACAGTAGTTTTACTTTAAAAATGTATCAAGTATAATTCTAGGAAGAAGAAAAACTTTTTCCAAATTTAGTAATGAAAACTCATAATGCTTATCTAACACACACACATGAAATTTAAGAAATGAAATTTTTTAATCTTTTTTGGATATAATATTTTTTTATTAAATTGCAGGTGTCAAGCTTCGTGGAAGAGAAAAAGGCCAAGCTCTGTCAGATCAAAAGCCTAAAAAGAAATGACACGAGGCCATCTACACCTATTTCTGCATTGCTTTTTGTTTGAGAGACTTGACTTATTCTTGTGCCTCTTTCTTCAGTAAAAATGTTACAGATACACTTTGTGTTTGGAAAATGTACAAATTTTGGGCATTTTATAAAAATTATTTAACATCTATTTTGTGCACAATACTTAAAATATTGCAGAGGGTGGCATTAAATAGTTTTTATTTTTTTAAAATTTCAGTTGGCCAAAGTTGAGATATATGAAAGTTTTCCTTTGTACTATATATGCTTTATTTTCCCCTCAGTTTGAATATTCCTTTACTAATCTTATCTGCTCTTGTGTGTAATATATCATCAGAATAATTTCATGATAAAATTTAATTTACCGTACTTTTTTAATTCTTTCTAAATTTCATGCATTGTAATGTGGTATTGGTGTTTGTCATTGAATTAATTTAGTATTGTGAAGCCCACTAATTCAGATAACAGGTAATTCCTTCTGATAGATATTCACAAAAATCTTTGACATTTATATATTGTTGTCTAGTGTATTTAATATTGATATAATAGCAAAATACCTAGAATGACAACATATTTAAATGGTGATATTTATCTCCATTCACTGTATTAACAACTTCATTAGTGATGTAGATTGGTATGTAAATGCTTAACAATCAAATTATTAGATTGGAAAAAAATATGTAGAAAAAAATTTAAAATAAAGGCACAGATATCATCTTAACAATTTATTATTCTGTGCTCTCTATTAATGTGTATATATTCTGTTTTACGTCTAAATTTTTGGATAGTCAAGGATAAGCTGATATTGTTTAATTATTGGTTGTTATGCAAAAATTTACAAACCAAATAAAATTTAATGGCTTATCAAAAATTGATTGCATGATTCTCATATTTAGCACACAACACTGTAAATATTAAAATGGAATGGATACCATAATTTATAGTAAATTACAATTGAAGTCACTATTTAATTACATAATTTTAAACAAAATATTCATGATGATCTCTTTGTTGCTCAAGAGCAATAATTTTAGAATTCTGATTTATTTAAATTTTATATAAATTCAAAATGTAGTTCTAACATTATCTAGAAAATTTATTTAAAATTAAATATCAATAATGTCATTTTTTCCAATAGAGCTTAAAGAATATAATTTGGATGAGATTTTAAATAAAGATTCATTTGAAGTAATTATTAAGTATCATTAAAAATTATTTTTATGCTTGCATATCAATAATTATGATACTTTATGGATAAAATATCTGAAAATAAAAGTATGTCTTTCTTTTTGATCAGCTCAACAATTTTCCATAAAAACATTTTTTTAAATCATTAAGATATACAATATTTCAGTAAATCATTATTTTAACTAAGATGAAAAAATAATTAACTCATCATAAACATATCCGTACATTTGTAACTATCAATTTTTATATGATTAAAAACTAATATATTTTATCAATATAAACCTCAATAACAGTTAACAATTTTTAAATTCAGTCTGCTAGTCTAATATTTTAAAAAATAAGGAAACAAAATATTTATCTAAGGTTAAATTATAGATTGAAATCTATAAAATTGAGATGTGAGTGCAGTAATAGTGATTTGGATAATTTGTAATTTATTATATAAAAAATTAACATCTTGAATGTAAAGCTTGAGGATAGCTGTAAATGGTATTTCCAATTGATTGCTGCCTTAATTTACATAAAAAGAATATAGTGTTTCAAGATAATCATCTCAAGGACTAAAATGTTTATAACATTTTTGGTAAACTGGACAACTTAAAGAGCTGAGAAATCCTGCAGACTGATTTTAAAACTTGCTAGCCTAAAATCATAAATCTTAATTAATTAATGCAATTTCAAACTATTTAATAAGAGTGATTAACATATATTAGCCTCATTCTTATTTACAGTTACTAATATACAATTCTAAATTATTTGTGGTGTTGGTTGTGTTGTTCATATTTAATTTTTTCCAAGAATTTAATAAAATTTGATATTTGAATTTTTTTTAATGAAATTGTTTGTAATAAAAATCATTCCTTCAAACTTAATGAATATTTTATTAAAAGCAAATGTAAATAAATTTTTTATATACAAATTTTATGAATGTTGAAAACACTTAAAGCAATTATTATATTCAGTTGGATTCCTCACTTATAGTTTTCTCAATAAATTCTAAATCTTCCGAAGGAAGCCGATTTACCGATTCTCCTTTGGCAGCTAATATCTCTTCAATATTTCTGAAATTAAAAAAATTCATATATTAAGCATATTTTTTTTTATAAAGAAATATTAAATAGTCTTAAAGAATTGAATGTGGTTTCAAACTTTCTATTTTAAGTTTGTACTTCATTCAAACAACTTGCTGATATTGGATTAACCAAAATATTTAACTGTACAGTACTTGCAAGGAAGGTTATGTGTGTGACCATAAAGGGAAGTATGTTGAATTTGATGTCAAATCTTTATATTAGCAGTACTGTCATGTCAGTAATCAAGTTACTATGCAACAAACGAATCTCATATAACGAATTATATGAAATTTATGACAACAAATTCTCTTTCAACACGAATAATGCTTTTCCTAAATTGCATCATTTTTAAAAAATTGTTATCGCATTAATATTTTTCATTTCCTGATTTAATACTGGATATGTTCCTATCTACAACTATTGCAGGTTGTTTTTAACTCTGGACAAACTTGAGAATTTAATTTTATTGAAAAATGTTATTTATATATCAAACCTTTCAAAAAATTTTTAGTTGTAAGGCTCAAATTTATACAAATTAATTATGGAAAAGTCAATATTTTTAAAACAAACTAAGACAAAATATTGTTCTAAACATTTAAAAATATTTTTGTTCAATTTAGTCACATAAAAAGATGAAAGTACTTCATTAATATAAATCTGCCTGTAAAATGTTTTACACTGTAACAGACAAATCTTACATAAACAAATAACTATTAACTTTTTTGAATCTCTAAGATCAACAATAATACTATGTTAAGTAGTAGTAGTAACATTCATTTCTATAGTTAAAATATACAATATTAATGAATTTGCATTATGTGCACTAATAAAACTATTTGTAGCTATTTACTCTATTAGATAAATTATAATTACTACTGAAAACAATACTTACAAGAATGATGTTAAATGTTTGGTTTATTTGTGATTTTGTATTTATGTACTAGCTTGAAAAAGCCTTATGTGAGAATAAAAAGATAAGTAATCACAATATAATTTAGTTTTATTTCAATACCAATAATTGTTAATTAGCAAATGAATTTGTAAATTTCTGTAACTTGACTGATGATGTAGCATATGATGCAGGTTTGAATTTCAGAAACAACTGGAGTTTTCTTCTAAGACTAATCCATTTGAAATTAATATCTAGGATGATCCCAAAGAAAATAAGCTTTGATCATCATTAGGCTCCAAATAACTATATGCACTGTATTGTCTAGATCAATGTTTCTCATCACAAACCAGTAAAATTATGGATAATTTTACTGGTTATCCATAAAGTAAAATTATCCATAATTTTACTGGTTTGCGATGACATATTGTACATAATCAGTAATTAAACAGAACTATGAATCATACTTATCTATGGATACTGTATATAGCAAAATGTCAAAAAAACTGCACCAGCATCAGCAGTCAAATATTTTTCTGTGGACTGTCAGTTGGAAAAACTGGTCTAGATGACATGCGAATGAGAATCATTTATATTTTCTATGGTAATCCATATCAATATGAAAATGGCTGCATCCAGCAGACTCAACAGTTCCAGAGCTGTTGAGTATTTTTCTGCTGAACACACACTACAGTAACACTCTTTCAGAACATGTTTAGTGTTTTGACATCACATTGGTAGCATTTTTCATTTATGCTACCTAAAACTGACCAATGAGGCTTTTTGTTTCAACACAACATTCAACAGATCCAGGTTGCTACATAACAACTACCAATTTGCTCAGTTACAACTGTTGAGTCTGCTGAATGCAACCAATGTCATCTCACATTCTGACAACTTTTAGAGATATCAGAATGAATGAAATGAAATTTTTATAATTCTCATATTTGGAACAGAATTTGAGTTTTTGCAAAACAGTTTAAAAAAATGTTTACATCTAGGAAAGCATTAATGTTCAAATTAACAGAGAGTATATTTTTCATCTGATAATTGTTTGATGTTTTCTTTACTTCATCATATAGAATATAAACTGTGGATTGTTTTATCATAATTAAATTCAGTCATTCAGTGATCATATACAGCAGGACTTCTTAAACTTTTTTTATTTACGACCCCATTTATGATTGTGATTTTTGTCGCTACCCAAAAAATATAAAATAAATATATACAAATTTGCAAAAACAATAATTATGTACTACCACAGTTCATTCTTGTGTTACAATGGAACAGAGACAACTGAATACACTGAAAAGTGACAACACTATACTAGTTCACACTACAGTGTTGTTGAATCGTTGTCTCGCTGCACCAAAAATGACACAAAGTGCAACTCACGAAACCTATGACACGAAGCATGCCATTTTCAAACTCTCACGAATTATTTTTCATATTCTGCATTAAAATCTTGCGACCCCAAGATTTCGCTAAGCGACCCCAAATGGGGTTGCGACCCATAGTTTAAGAAGCCCTGATATACAGTATGATGTGTTCCTAGACAACAAAGCACTAAGCGAAACAGCATTAAATGAGGTCATTTTAACAGAGTAAATAGGGGACATGACCAAAAATTAACAAATTTTACTTTAATTTTATTTTTACATTAATTTGTATAATAATATATGTTAAATAACACACAAACATATGCACACAGAAATGTAAAGTTCATTTTTTGTGATAAAAATCCTGATTTTTATGAAATTCTTGTTCTTTTGCAATAAAGTCATAAAGTTTCAATTGTTGCTTTTTTCTTTCCTTAAACAAATGTCGGTAGCAGAAGATCACATCCAAAATGCCTCGTTTTACTTTTGCACTCCTTTCAAAATCTGGATCATTCGCTACAATTTGATCGATGATTTCAGTTATTGTTACCAAACTTTTACTAAGGAAATGTGTAAAGAAATTTTTTTGGTTCTTTGTTTTCAAAATCTATTTTCCAGTTCCACATGAATTCCATGTTTGCAAGTTCTTGAAGGTCATCGTTGGTAAGGCTCTCACCAGAAATCTGCTGTAACTCCTCAATATCCTGCTCATCTATATCTCCTAGTCCTGCTGTACCGATTTGGTTGAGTTTGGTCAACCTTCTTGTTGAGAATTCTTGGATACCTTCAGCCATAACTTCTTCCACACTTCATTTGTGCATTTATCAGTTAATTCTTGCCAAGCAAAGTCGATATTTCCTATGACATCCATGATGTCATATTTTTTCCAAAATTGCACCAAACAAACATAGATATAAAGAAAGTACACCTTTTTGCCATTTTTTGCTGATTGGTTTGTGTTTGCAAATAATCATATTATATACAAATCAATGACATGCTGTGATAATTTAAATCAGCATTTTGAGGTTTTCTTCAAGCAGACCGCATTATATCGAATCAGCATTAAGCAGGGTCTTACTGTGCATTCATGTAATCAATGTATGAAATATAAGCAATTAACAAAACTGGCAATATATACAGTAGAATCTCTTTATTGATCATCATCACCAGCCATTTATCATGAGAAATAGCATCTCCCAAAACAACCAATTTTTTGAGTGTAATTAAACTTCTTGTATTTTAAGTTTTGGTTACAGTTATTGTCAGATAGCATGCAAACTGATGGCTTAGAAATATCTCATAAGATATTTAAGATAATGCACAATTGCTAGCAATTGTCATCTTAACTAGTATTTTGAATATTAATTTAAATACTGATTTTTTTTATACTTATTTGTCCATAGTACAACTAAATTGCTGGCATTTCTTCCTTCATTGTTTAGAGATAATTATGAAATAAAATATATTTTATGCTACTGTTAAGGATGGAGCAATGGCAGGAGAACATGGAGTGAATTAATGAATAATAATTAACTCAAAACTATATAACTTGAAGACTTATAATATGGTTTAGTGCCATAGTCAAAATTCAGACATCTACTAATTATAGTTTTACTTATTTATGTTTTATGGTTAACATTTGATTATCATCAGTATGGGTGAGTTGCAAAGTGATAACATTATGCAGATTATATTATGTTAGAATCTGCATAATGTTATATGTTAACTCTACTATGTCCTTTTTTAAATTATTTAAAAGCATATACATCTCTCTAAATGATTGCCCCCTTTAAGCTAACTACTTTTTATGACCAGATTTTCTTTCTTAAAGGGAATTTTTATGACAGCACTCATTGTAAGTCAACCACTCCTTTACATGACCAATTGCCACCTAGACTCAATCACTTTACGTAAAATGACTCTGAGGCAAACAATTTCCAGGATGATTAAATCAAAAGTATAGGCATGTACTGTACAATATACAATTGGGCACGTTGTATTAGGTGTAAAAGTACATCTTAATCTTTTTACTCCAACTTCAATGTCTCCATTTTCTCTTATCTGGACATATCATGGAAATTGCACATAATTTGCTGTTAATATCCTCCATAATTTAGTCTATGCTTTATTCTTATGAAACTAAATATGACAAAGTTAATTAATTTAATCTTTATATTAATTAAAGGTTAAAGTCCAGATATGTATATCGTCATGGCGGCTCATCTCCGATTCCAGCAAATAGTGGGGACGCACGTTCTAACCCAACCTAACCTATTCTAATAATTTGGTTGGTAATAATTATGGTAATTTATTAGAATAGGTTAGAACGTGCGTCCCCACTATTTGCTGGAATCGGAGATGAGCCGCCATGACGGTATACATATCTAGACTTTAACCAACTTTTCTATCCATTATTTTCGTCACCTCTCTTAACAAGACTATCGGTTAATTTAGATAGCAGTTTTCTTTTTACTGTACCGGGAATTTATAACAAATATTACAGTTAAGTTTTTTTAAGACAACTTAAGTTTTGGTTATCATTTATTTATTTATATCCAAAAATGAAATACTAACCTGAGTCCATTTAAATCACTGAACCAATTCAAATTGTCTGCAATGAGATGATTATTATTACATCCGTGACAACGAACAATCACAACGCCTTTTTCATAACTAATCTTCGATATGAATTTGGTCACTCTCGTTTCACAAACTTTACATTTGAATGACAACAGTTTCTTATCTATTTTTCCAACAGTAATATTATCTGTAGAATAATGTTTCACATTTAAAGTATGAGTAGGTAATTTCCAGCATTTCACATTATTTTTCTGTGCTAGTGTCGTATTGACTTTAATAGGATATCTACAATAAAATCGAGTCCTGTTAAATGTCCGAAGTAAACATCGACTAAACTTCCACATGGTCGCGATATTATGGAATACGCTCGATGGGACAATGTTGCCAGCTGGAAAATATTTACAAATGAAAATTTTTTCTAATTCAAAAAAAAATAAAAAATTATATACAACAGATATTTTTATTTTTAAATATTTGTATAGAAATAATAAAGTTTTAATAAGACATAATTTAAAAAACCAACTTTGATAGTCAGCATTCTTAATGAACACAAGTTTCGTTACAAAATACAAAATCGCTACCGGTAGTGAAAACAATTTTTTATTTTTAATAAAAAAATAGAAATTATATAAGAAATTATTATTATATTTAATATACATGCTGTTATTATTGTCGGCTAATCTGCGTGATAAGATTTTATACCTGTACTATCGGCCAGTTGGCCGAGCGGTCAAAGTGGCAGCCTATTGCTCTGGGAGACTCGGAATCAAATCCGGACGGGTCAAAAAATCCCCAGGAATTTTTCGGAGGTGGTCCGTCCAGATATGTCGGGCCCCGTCTCTCACTATCTGGTCGCCCCATTGTGAGCCAGGCCGACACCATAATGGGCTTGCTAAAAGAGGCCCTCTTAGTGCCCACAGAGCGGGAAGAGTTAACAAAAAAGCTACTTGTACGACTCGTACTTATGGAGTGTACTACTATTTCGAATAAGATAAAGGCAATGGTAAAAAACTACCGAGCAAAATTTAATTATAACAATTATGATTAGGCAACCATCTTTCTTCTTCGTCTCAAAAAAAAACAACTAGTGCCCCCTCCTTTTTTTTCTTTGCCTCCTCGCGGGATTTTCTCTCTAAAAACTTACATCTCGGTTACCACTGCTTTTAGCCAAAACAGTAGCTTTTGTTTAAAATTCTTCTCTATCTTCTAGAGACATTAGTAACAGATTTTTTCGTAGCTTCATTTGCACGTAGTCCTTCTCGATCGGTTTTTAGATGATAAGGACGAATCTGACTCAGGTGTACTATCTTGTTGTCATCATCTTGAATTTCCTCAATGAGATAGGTGACGGGTTAACTATCCTCTTTATTATATATGGACCTTTTCATTTGCTCTGAAATTTGTCTGTTTAAACGACGTCGTGTCCCTTAATCTTAGATTCATGCTTATTTTTATCAAAAGATATTTTATTTTGATCATGAGTTTCAGCAAGATTTTCAACTGCTTGTACTCGATTAATAAACAGCTCAGTCAATCTATTCTCAGCTTCTTTCAGAGTTTTTCCCTCCCCAATCTTTGTATTTCTGGTGTTCTTGGCTCAAAACCATGGAGCAAGTAGAAAGGACTTTGTTGAGTTGACTTGTGTTTCTTCGTGTTATAAGCAAACACTGCTGTTAAAATACAATTATAATATAAATATTAAATTTATAATTATATTTTACATATAAAATATATACTGTAACTAACGAGTAAGTAAAACGATCAAATTCCAATAAAGTAAATTATATAATTCAAAAAAAATTATAAGTAACATAATTCTATTATAATAATATCTGAAACAGGAATGTCCAACCTTTTCGTTTCTCTGCACCACATTGAAAGAAGTCATGGAGTTTGGGTCACAAGTATATATGATATACTTGTGGCCCAATCCTTAAATATACAAGTATATTTAAGGATTAACATGTGTAGATTATAGTAATAAGTATTAAAACTTTATCACGAAAAAGAATATTTTAAAAAATTACTTCTACAGTCACTTTCAATTTTTACTTAGAAATTGATAAATTCATTTATTATAAAGGAGACAAACAAAAATTTATATGAAAAACACAAATATTTGTTTTATTTGAGTCTCTAATTAAGAAAAACTACGAAACAACATTATAAAGTGCATTTTTATTCGACTAATATATTTATAAATAATATAATATAGTCTAAAAAGTAGCCAATACGCCAGATTATATTTTTTTACGCCAAACTAAAAAAAGGGTAGCCAAATCTTGCAACACTGGAAGGAATACTAAATAAAGCTGGAGTTGGAACTCAAAGGATTAGACCCAAATGCGAGGAAAGGAGAGAAAAGATAAAAGATAAAGAAGTGAGGAAGGTTGGAAAATTAAAGGTCAATATTTGCATAACAGAAGGTCTATTTAATTTTTCTTACTACTTTTTATCTTTTGGCCTTTCTCTCCTTTCTTCGAATTTGTGTCTATAATCCTTGAGTCACAACTCCAGCTTTATTTAGTATTCCTTCCTCATTCACACATTTTCAAGTATTTTAAAATATTTCCTTTCCACTCAAAAATAAAATATGTTTAAAGGTTTACGGCATTGTGAAACTTCTTTTTTGAGTTTATGCCGTTGAAATAAATAAATAAATAAATAATTTGTTGGTTTTGTTCACATGTTTATTGGACACCCCTGATCTAAAGTATTCAATATAAGTGAGTTACAGATTTATAAATTTATGGAAAATTTTTTGTTTTATTACCATAAAACAGTGGAAAGAGAGAGTAAAGAGGGAGATGGAACTCGGACTGAGTTTCATCACAACCATTCTTATTATCAAAACCTTTATATCAGTTTCATATTATAATTGTTAGGCCTATATAAAATACTAAATTTTGAGAGACTTGAACCAAATGATTTTACATGTTACATACTAAAAGCCCTAACTGGCTTCTAGTATGTAACATGTAGCTGTAACTGTTACATAGGTTATGTAATCATCCAGTAACCTGGTCCAGTAATTATCAGTGTGTGTTTATTACATGGGCATGGGCTGGTAACTGTTGTGTTTAGAATGAAATTAATCATGGCTGTATAAATGTAACTATTTTAAAAATATATAATATAGTTTTAATTCGATTATGAATCATTGATTTTTAAAAATAGGACATTACTCAGAACAATATTTCTAACGTATTCATTATATTTAATGTTTTTTGTTGCGGTCGTTAAACAGGATGTAAGAAAGCTGAGGTAAGACCTGAGTTCCACCTTCTTTTCTTAAAGCTATAAAAATATGAATAAAATCAATGAAAAAAAAAAAACAATATATTTTATCATTTATCAAAATAGGCTTTATATTGCTTTCATGATGTAACAAAATTTTAGGCTTCTGTACTAGAATCCTATTCAAATGACTTTGTCGATAACCCTACCTGATAAAACGCATAGTACATGTTGATAAAATATAAGTTTATATCAAGTTTAAATTTTATTCAAAGTCTCTTTAAAATTTAGGATATAATTAAATATCAATTATTCTAATTTTTAGCATTTTGTTTCTCAATTGCATATTTAACAATATGAAACGATTCATAGAAAACATAATGCATAATTCACATCACAAATCTATTAAACGTATTTGGATATCATAAAGCAATATATTGCTTTATAAAAATAGGAAAGTCGATATTAGTGCAAAATAATAAACGAACCAAAATTCTTCATAGTTTTTTTTATTTTTATTTTTTATATAATTAAAATAAATCTTGAAAATTTAAGCTTCTAGCTATCTTCTTGTTTTTAGACACAAATATGCAATGAAAATACAGTTAAAACAATTATTTTTTTAGAAAAATATTAAAAATTAAAAGTAGAAACGTCTTTAGATATTAAGCAAAACTAAAAAGTTATAAATCTATTCTACGTGGCAATATATAAAAAAGAAAGTTTGTTAGTTTGTTCCTTTGACACGGTTTAAGCAAATGCAATGAAACTTTACAGGGACCATCCTCTCATCCAAGAGGAGGTCAACGACTTCTTTTGCTCGAATTAACTTCAACCCCCGCCCACAGCAGGCCCCTTTCTGGCGAGACGGTAGCATCCGAATAGGAAAACTTACTTAATAATAGGAAAATTACTTAATAACAAAGTTACTAGCGATCACAAAATATGTTTTTAGACGTTTTCGAGGATGCCGAGTTTAAATATTTGGTCTATTTTTCAAAAGATTTGATTGGTTGGTCGACTAACATTTTATATTTGATTGTGAATGGTAGGCCTACGTTAGAGTTAACATTAGAAAGAATTTAGTTGTCTTGAATGATCATCTTGTAAAGGCGGAAGTCAATAACTTTATTTGTTGAAAAGATCAATTCCTGTCTTCTTGATCAATGAAATTGCGCCATTCGTGCTATCCGTGTATCGCATTCTTAGCAAGTGCAAACCATGCGCTCGAAGGTTTTCCAGGATGCCGAGCGTCAATCTTCAGGCTATTTGCCTCGAAATCTGCTTGTTCACTTCTTTATATTTTTGTTATATGAATTTAAATAAGATCGATTTATTTTTTCCCCGTTCTTCAAAACAGATCTTTGTCATTTCCTTTTTTCTTATTATAATTTATTTAACACTTCGTGGTAAACATGACAATGATAGGCTAAAATAATTAAACTTTTAACATGATTTTCATTTTAATATTTGTTGTTCTTACTTTTTTCTCGGGGAAATCGCCAGGCATATCTAGGGGAAATCGCCAGGCTAGTAGACTAATATATGTAATCAAAATGCTTTTAAAAATAAAATATAAAAATACAGTAATCTTAAATTGTTTAACAGACATCTGCAAATTTTGTAAAATTTATTATATTTATATATTTTGAGATTCATTTAATCATCATTACCATTATCATTCTCGTCATTACTACAGTTTTATATAATTAACATAACATTCATGCGGAGAAAACAAAGATTCAATTGGTTTGGTGGATATGGCAACGCAATATGTACGAGATCTTCAGCCAAGGGAATGCCTCTCGGAAGGACTTTCCCCTTGGTGATCTTCCTATGAAAAACTGGTCCCTATTTAGGAATTAAACACGTGAAGAAAACCCAAAAAATTCCACCTGGTCAGCAAATTGGTTAGGCACGAACCTGCAACCAACGGACTGACCACAGAGGTTACAGTCGTTCGATCAGTTTTAACATTGAGTTGTTCCAGTATAATTAATTTAATTTCTATTACAGATTCATGTTTTGTTCAATAATATATATTTTTAAAAAGCAGAAAAAGATATAATTAACTATTATAATAATTTTATTAAAATAATATATATCTATCGTTTCCTTGTTTTTCTTACTACGTACTCTGATTCTTAATGACGTGATGCATATTTATATTTAACTCACAAATAATTTATCAAAATAAAAATATAAAATTTAACTCATCTTGTTGAACTAGTTCTTGTATTGATATTAAATTAATAAATTTAATACAAGAAAAGTTTTCATAATAGTATAATACATAGTGTAAATGTTTTATGTTATAATAAACAATTACTCTAGATCCTCCTTTTACGACTATTAGCATTACAAACCCCCTTTTACGACTAAATATAGGGGAGATCGGGGCAAGATCGGCATGTTAAGATTTACTTAAATTTTGTGTAATAAATACTGCTGTAAACTGAAAAAAAAGCTTTGCATATTGTCTATTGGAATGTTACCTTACTATAGAACTGGTTAAAATCAGTTTGGAAAAAAAAATAATTAAAATAATTACAACTTTACAAGAAGAGAGAAATTGACGAAGTTGCCCCGGGTATAGGGGCAAGATCGGCAA